AAGTGGGATACTATCAAAGTAAGGTATAGGAGAAAAGTTTGCTACAATTTTCTTATCAATATAAATAGAAAAATTTCTAAGGACTTTTTTCATATATTATATCATAAGTTACAGCGTGAAAAGCAATACAATTTACATAAGACAGCTTTTCTTACAATTGTACTTTTTGTTTTCAAAAGCGACTGAACTCGAAGCAACCAAATTTTGTCGCTGCGAAAAAGACTTTTTGATACATGACGAGTTTGCTTTTTTTATGCCATCTTTTCACCTTTTGTAGACTTTGAAAACAAAAAGTGCAACTGTAAGAAAGACTGTCTTGTGTAAATTGAAGAGTTTTCACGCTGTATCTTATGATATAATATATGAAAAAAGTCTTCAGAAATTTGTTTATTTATATCGATAGGAAAATTGCAAAGAACTTTTTCCTATATAGTATTTCCAAGAATTTTTTAATTTTTATTTTAATATGTACCAAAATTTTTATGACGATTTTTGATAGGTTGTTTTGTACAAGTTGACATTTAATCAACTAATTCCTGACCCTATTCATGTTCAAGTTATATTGTCTACTTTCTATCATTTGTTGCAATGTTGTAGTATTAGATGATTCCATTTATTTCAATGACTTATCTCTAAAAGACGCCAGAGATTTTCAATGGGATTTAAATCTAATCATTTTGTGGTCAGATGCTCTACAATATGGATGCTTTGTATTGTGAACCACTTCATGTCGTATTTCAGTCGATGAGGTAGCTTGTGGCCATGCATACACATATAGTTGTTGTTTGATGCATCAAATATAGTTTCAATGAGCCAATATAATTCTTCGTTGACGGTCTTACTATTTGCAAGTTCATCAATTCTCACAGAATACATAGTTAGTTAACGAGTCACGGGTATCATCTGACATACAGTTTCAGACGCTAATACATGCTTCACTACTTTAGATCGTTTAAATAAAAACTGAAGGCTGCATCATTTGTGGTTTGTGAATGACGAATAAATGCGTCATTTTTTCGATTTAATACTTCAAAACGTTTCCCACTGCTAGAAATATTGTTGTTCCACTTATTCATCCAGTATTAGCATTCATTAAAAAAGTAAGTGGTTGTTTCTGTTGAGCAAATTTTCGTAACAGCATCTGTACTGCTCCATAACTTGTGTTAACCACATCGAATAGACGTTAATGAATTGTTCGAGAACTTGAAGGCTTACAATTTGAAGAGAGCTAGTCTCGAGAATGGCATGTGACTAGATCTGATTTGATCTTTCTTATATAATCGTCACAAATCTGAATCATCAGTTACAAGTGATGTTTACTTAAGACCATGACCTAGTAAGTTTGATAGAAGTCATTTCTCTGTCAACTTCTTCGGTACCTTAAAAACATGTCTTTTTTCGAAGAATTAACAGCACTGACAGAACAACGTTAATGAGATCTAATTTCTGGTAATGCTTTAATTTCTATTGTTTTATTCGAACCTACTTTAGCCCGACGCATCGCAACTAGCTACAAGATTCAGTTTTGGAATTCCTACTTTTTTTTTTACTAAGTTATCTTGATGCAAAATGCTACTTAAGAAGAAGCGTGATCCTACGAGGGGCTATTGTAATCGACACGAGTCTTGTATAAAAGAATAGGAGAGACCTAATCGTGGTTCGTGGGCTTCTCGTAAGTTATTCGCAAAATAGAGTTATTAAGATGTTTTATGATCTTTACATTGAAGCCAATGGTCGTAGTAGGTTATTTTTCTGGTATTTTCATTTGTCTTTCCTTGTGGCATCGAAAAACAACCCAAACGATGAGAATATCTCTCTTATTTGGAGGGGACGGGACGATTATTCGTTGTACTGTTGAAGCAGTCTTGGCAAGTATTTCATTAATAATTAGCTTTCATTTTTGTCTAGAAAAACTATATTTAAGATATGATAATGCATTTTGAGATGCCATAAAAACAAATACATAATTGAATTGAAGCTTATACATTATTGTAGTCGTATTGAGTCAATGAGATGAAGGCATGGGTATGGGTGTGAGTATGTATGTGGATGTGGATATATGTGTTACAGAGTAAATACTATAACCTACACTCCACCTCCACCTCCACACACACCAACATCCCACACTCGCACTCACATGCACGTGTACATCCACATCATGTTTGTCTAGCATTTCATTTCAACTGCATTATATGTGCAGATCGAGAAAGAATCAGAATATTTTTTGCTGTTCAAGCAAGATTTAAGAAACTTCTGCTGCAGTACGAAAAATAACAATAATACACCGAGATCAATCATACATCGTATTGAAGCATTTGAAGACAAGAATATAATGCTAGCATAGATGAAGTTTAAATTTGTAGGACACATATTGTTAAGAATTTTCTTTTCCAGATTAACTAATGTTTATCTGAGAGCATTTTAAGTTCGCGTCTTGATTTACAAATGATAAATTAGTCAAGCAAAACTTATATCTTTACAAAACAAGTTTTTATTAATTAAACCGTGACTGTTTGGAATCGAACGTCAGCATGGCTTCTCCAGTAAAATTGATTTCTGTTCGCAAAATTTCTCCACCACCATCACCAGAAACTGAAATGATTTGGCTATTTCATGCATATAGAAATCTATCAGAAAGTGCTCAAGTCGTCGAATGGATTCCGTACCCAGCTGAAATATCATCATCTTTGGAAAATGCCGTTAGGTATGGTTTAGAAGAGACTTTTATCAACGACACACATCGAATTGATTTCATAGAGCTGTTAGAAGTGCGCATGGAAGATCCAACGTGTTGCCGACCTATTCGACGATGTTCATTGACTCTATTTAGAGAGATTGAGAGAATGACAAAACTTGATCCGCCTCGTTGTGAAAGACTATCTTTCCGATTGAATACGAATTTACAATGTAGTACTAGTGTGGATACAGCTTATCACGGTTCTCAGTTTGTTCGTGATTGGTTATTGAAATTTACTAATGGAAAACTTAGTGTGAAATTCAATGATATCTTTCCTGCTCTTATCAACGGTTTAAAAGACGAAGGTCGTCAGGAACCGAAAAATATTGTCAATGATATTGTACGTATTTTGAATTCGGCTAAAGATGAATCTTGTAAGATGAATGAAAAGAAAAGAATGAAAAAACTGCAAGATTGTTGTATCAAATTATATACAAAACAATGTTATGTCTTTCGCATTGTAAATACTGCATTACGTGACGATGACCGAACGAAGCTAGATACACTAGGCCCCTACTGTTATCTTGTTTATAATTGCATAGGTCGTCATATCCATGATCAACATCTTCTAGAACTACTTCATCGAAATAAATCTCATTCGATGACTGTATACCGTGGTGATAGTGCTCCGCGTAAAACAATTGAAGAGTATCGGCAAGCAGCTAGTCGAAAAGAAAAATATTTCAAATGGTTGTCATTCGTTTCGACTTCAGCTGATCGTATTGTTGCCGAACACTTTGCATTGAATGTTTTGTACGTCATCGAAGTTGAACGCTATTTATCCATGGATCAATATACTGATTTAGACACAAATACATATTTTGAGAGTGAACAAGAAATCTTATTGAAACCTGGAACAAGATTTCGAGTTACGAAAGTAGAATTGGATTCTATTTCTGGGCGACACTTGGTCCATATAAAAATTATTCCATCCTATGTGTCTCATCTGCGATAATAAACACCTATGCTCTGGAACGTGTGTGCAACATTTAAAACGTGCTGTTTCTATTTAAAATAAAAATGCTGTGATATTTATCGTCACTATAAGAACGCTCAGTTAAACAGTGTGGACAAAGAACTGAAAAAGCTGTTACTCAAAGATGCCACTTTGAATGCTATTTCTAAGTCGAAAGAGAGCCGATCAAAGGTATTTTCAAAAAATACCTAACAATTGAGGTTCGCATATGGTGCAAAAAAGTAGTGCAAGCAGCACATTCAGTACATATAACCACATTCGCGTAGATGCATCTCGTAATCAATGATCGTTTTAATATTGACCATAATGGTTTTTCCTTTTGGATTTAATTCTGTTTCTAGTTTTTTATGTCCAAATGAACAGTAGTTACTTTTCTATCAAAAATAATGAGATCTGTAGCCATTTTGAAATAATACGATATTTCTCAATAAGCGCAGCGATATGATTTCGTGTGAAAAGCACTCTTAAATGTTTAGAGAATGAAACATTTTGATTACTGAAATTGTAAACATATGGTTAAAGTTGCCTCTCTCCCATTAGAACAGTTGTATGATCTTTTTAATAAAAAAAGGTTCATTAGTGCAGGTGTGGATAAGTGTATTTGTGACGATGTTGGTGTAGATAGGGCTGCGAATTTGGATGTAAGTATCTTTTCTTCATTTACGCACATTCAAGCACATCCCCATCCAAACCCTCTAGTATCAAACACTTTCAGCATTTTATGACACTATTGCGTTCGTTTCACAACACATATCGATAATCAGGATGCTAAAAATAGTGAAATAAATTTCTCTACTCAAATGTATCTATAATATTTACCCAATCACAAGGCTCTTCAATAGTTGCTTCACGATTATAATCGTCATGTGACAGACACTCTCGCCGACGATTTTCCATCATCAGGCAGACGCGTAGAATCAAAGTCATAATGAGTGCACCAGCTAGGAAACCTATGGCAATGATGTAATCTTGTCGAGTTACTGGTTTGTTCTCCACACGATGCACCTATATGACACAAGGACCTATTCTTGAATTGAACGCTCACAATGAAAGTCATCTAACTGATAACAACCATTGAAGCACATACTTTCTTCTTAGGTAGGGCTCATAAGTTAGATAAAACCCATAAAAGAATTCGTGCAATTAAACCTTACCTCTCACGTTATGGTTATTTTACTAAATTTTCAGCCTATCATACGCTCGTATGAGAAAAATCGTAACAAGGAGTTTTCCTCAGAAAATTTTTCTAATAACAGGTATCATGGTCCTTGCTATATACGCACTGCAAGTTTCAGCACAAACGGATGATTCCATATTACAGTATAGAATACCTCAAAAATTGAGTATTTTTAGAACTTCTGTAAGAAAATAGTGGTTTTTGAAAATCTATTATGTCGGAACAAAAATGGTCGTTTTGCGGGAACTTTCAGGATAAAATAAGGATCATCAAGTCTATTACTGGGGAAATTCACAGGCGAAAACTCTTTGTTGCGATTTTTCTCATATTGCCGTGTGATAGAGTGAAAGTTCAATCAAATAACCAGAACTTGAGAGGAAAGATCTAATGGCGCCAGTCCTTTTACGATTTTTATCTAACTTATGAGTCTTACCTATGAGCAAAATATAAGTTGAAACAGCATCAGCTGAATGGATTCCCTCTTCAAACGACAATTTCTACATTACCTGAGGTTGTATGATGGCACCGATCTGCCCGATACCCGACATCATACCGACAGCTACGGTCCGCTTTGTGTTGCCTCCCACATTACTTGTCAACCACGACCAAAGGATAGAGAGTGCTGAAAACGTTCCAAAACAAGCAATGCAGATACCGACATACACGGGTAGCTTGCCTCGATGTTCAAGACTTATCATTAATATGAGACCGAGTAAACCAATGCATAAAAAAAGGATATGATGAAAACCATGTTCGTTACAACGTGACGAGGAATAACCACCCAACAGTATAGCTAAACAACTGATAACATATGGAAGTATTGTCATTAAGTGTGCTTCTTCGATAGAATAATCCAAAGCCTTCATCATAGACGGCAAGGCTGTCATAAGACATTTTATGCCACCCAAATCGCCGATGCTAATAGTAGCAAACAGATACATTCGCCAATCGAGAAACACATACCGTACTTGCCGCCATGAAATCAACGAGTCGGATGCTCGCTCATTATTGGTCACGCCTGCATCATGTCGAAGGAGATTTGTAAGAAAGTCTTTCTCACAATTATCTAACCCTGATGTGAAATAATTTTTAATTATGATATTCTATTTAGTCTTACATTGAACAGTTTCAGGTATACTACCAAGAGCGATATAAGTGATAATGCCTATTGGGATGACAGGCAGTCCTGGGAGCAAAAAGAGCCATTGCCAGCTTTTCAAATTGGCAATGCCGTTCATTTTACTACTTGCGTAACCCTAAAAAGAAATATTGTCGATAGAATACTTAAGCTTGCGATTAACATGATTACCAGAATGCCAACGAGTGCTCCAGAGGCGAATGTGGCAGTACAAAATATAGCGATTCTCATGATTTGCTCTCGTCTCGGATACCATAAAGAAAAATAAGTGATGATGCCTGGAAAATAGCCAGCTATAACCATGCCCTTGATTGACAATATATCCTAAGAGAGCTATAGTCAAATGGTAGATTGACTTACGAGAAGAAATCGAAGAATGATCAGTTCACGGGCATTTTTTACAAATGCCATGCCCATCGTGATTGCACCCCATGAAGTTAAACTTAGCGATAAATAACGAGTTGCACCAAGCAAGCGCAATATTAAACAGCTCGGAATTGCGAAGATTAGCTAAAGATTAATATACATATGAGTCTCTTTTATGCAATTGCTTGAAAGCAGACTATATCGTTTTTTTCACTCGAGGAGGTAAACGCCAAGAAAAAACTTACATATGCAATAAAAAAGGCTGATGTCGCCCAATTATTCTCCTCTGCTGTCAAATTCAGATCACCTTTGAAAGCAGTGAGCAGGGCATGACCTGTTAACATTTGAAAAACTTTTTTTGCAATAAGCTTAAAATGTATTGGAAAAATACCTATGGCAACTTGAAAGCCAAATCTAGTGATCTCGACGAATGCCAAATATGGAATAAGTCGTCGATCAAGCTTACGAATGAGTCGAGATACAGCACGTTGATATTGAACTATTTCTTCTCCTTGTATCACCAATGCAGTCGACCTTTGGTGAGCCATTTTCATTCTTCTATAGTCAAAATGTTTTCATAATATATTTATATCCCGAAGCAAATAGGTGCACTGACTTCTGGAAATATATGTTCATTAAAAGGACATGCTTTTATAAAACTAATCTCATATTCCGATAGCGCTTGGAATTCTCTATCATCATGTATACTAACATCTTCAATTGGGCTTCACTCACTAAAAAAGGAATTCAGTACAATGAACACACCATCATGCTCGAATTCTAACTCACGGTATTTTTTACCATCTTCTCACTTTGTTTTTCAAGTATATCATCATTACAGAAATTGATTTATAAATGCATATTATTGTATATTCTGATAATCCATGAATTTCTCTATAACTCTGTATAATTGCCTTTCTTCTCACATCAGTTAATTAAGAGAGTGCACGCAATGGTAAGACGGAATTTCGACCATAATAATTTTGCCAACAGAATTTCTGTAACGTCGAAACTCAATCGAAATTACAACAATAAAACTTCTTACTGGAAATTTTGTTGTCAAATATCCACCAGAAACATGACAATAGCTAGACGTAGGTAAGTAAAGTATGATATGAATGAACATCTTGAAGAAACAGTCATGACCGCATCAATGCTTTTCTCGAATATATGAATATCCGAAACAGCCCGTGCAATACATTCATTTGAAATATCGCAGATATACCAGAGTAGTGAGTAAAACCTGCTACAAAATGGCGTTGTACTATCGGTTTCTTTCACTATTCCGTTTTACGAACGACTGTTTCGTTGACTACGGTGTACCGTTAATCAGAAAAATATACAATGATGTCAGTGATTATGCGATGATTGTTTAATAGAACTAATAATATCAGATTGACCATTAAGAAAATGTTAGATATCATTTGACATAGTATCATGTCCATAGTAACACGGATTTTTTTCTGACAGTGATCTTTAATATACTGCTACATTAGCTTTCATCGAATGTGTCCTCGGACTTTCTTTGATCGGAGCAGACTTCCAGATCCAATAAATCTTAAAGTTTTCTTCTTCTTCTAACTCTTAATAAAGCTTTCGCTATAGTTATTTGGATAGGATATGAGTACGCATGTGGATGGTGTCATATGCTCATCTACACCCACACCCACACCCACATCCACCCTTTTAGCACGTATGAAGTAGAACGAGATAAAACGAGCAGAAGTTGACAAAGGCTCATCCGAAAACATTTAAATTTTAAAGATTTAAGTTTTCTTAANTAATCTTTCTTATCTGAAAGTTAAGCTTTCAACAGAAAAAGTTTCTATCGAAATTTTATTATTATGGTACCAGGTGAATAGGGATGAAATAGTACCGAAAAATAGAGTTTTATTTTCTCTATCATTTCATATAAAAAGAAAATTTTCTCAAGCCTTCTATACGACAATAATGTACCTCCGCCACTACTTTTGGGTACCCCTAATAGAATCGAGCACGTTTCAAGTTATCAATAAGTCGTCTACTTTCACTAGAAACAGCGTCTTTATCTTCAATCATTTTTCTTATGCCGTCAAATGCTTCTACAGCTTCGGCTGCGAAGTAGTTGATACCTTGTAAAGATTTTCTTGTTGACGCTTTACAAGTCTCGAGAATAGTAAATAAACTACTTTTACCGAGTGATTCAAAATCTGAACACATCTCTTTGCAATAAAGAAGATACTGATCGACAATACTAGTCGCTCCCATATTTCTTATCGTATTTGGAACGAACAATTCAATTCCAGACGATATCTTCAATACTTTTTCACCAAACGGTAAATCTGTACAGATGTGAAATGAAACAATAAAGTCAACAAAATGAGCAATTTGACAATCATCAAATCGTTTCACCATTTTTGTTGGCGCTTCAACTCTCGAACCAACTCCATATCTGTGAGCGTGTAAATGTGCTGCATAGAATCTGTAATCAGTTAAACCTGGTATGAATAATTGCATGAGATTGAACGATATTTTTGGTGCTACAATTGAGAGAATCTCTCGTCTCGATTCGCACGATTCAGCGCCGGTGTATGCTTCCGAAACACCACTCATTATTTGACGAAAATTTCCGTCTAAAAGAATATTCGAATCTTCACTATTAATATCGCTAAATGAATCATAAATGAGCATGCCAGCATCATTCGATGCCACCAATGATGTAGCCGATCGCATTATGACTTTAATTAAACTTACATATCTCAATTTGACACGATGTGATAGATCTTTATAAGATGTCGTCACATTTACTTTTCTTTTACTACCACAAGCAGAAAGAAGACTGTTCAAAGCTGTCAGTTGTTCTTTTATCTTTTCTTCACCAATTGAAGCATCAAAAGGTGGTTGATAATCAAGATCTTTATCTTCCATAGAGTCTTCTTTACAACATACTGACTCAGGGTCGAAAAGACACCCAAAGGCATTGTCATGAAGCCATTCCTTTAATGTTTCCGTTTTCTTCGAAACTTCTATTCGACACCTTAGACAAATCAGTTTTCCGTAAGAATTTCTCAACTTGAAAGATTCAAACAAAGTAATAGCTTGACTTACAGTCATGTTTCGCAAGTCAGTTTTAGTATGCAATGATGTTTCTCTTACATTCAAACAGGTATCACATTTACTTCTCGACTGATGAAAATAAACTTGTTGCAAAAGTATTTCGTAATGCGTACCACAAACAAAAGCGTTTTCAATTTTCAACATCAAATTTTCTGTTGGAAGAACATATCTGCTTTCAGAAGTATAGCTTCCAAAAGATTTTCAGCATGAGAAAACGTTTTGCTGTCATTTGCTTTCTTTTTTAATTCAGACAAATGTATCCAAGTTTCCTTCCTTGAGCAACAAACCTTGTCACAACAGTCAGAAAAAAAGCACTTATTATTACTCATTTCTATAATGAATAAATTATTGCTTACTTAACTGATTAATATGGTTAATTAATCAAAATTAAAATATAAGATCGTCAAATTTAAATGAATAGTTTTACGTTCTGTTGAACACAAAAGCACAATTACATGTGACTGCGTAATTTACAAATAGACAGGAAAGAGCAAAAAAAAAGACATTTAATATATTGGCGCACGACAAATGTCTTTTTTCCTGTCCAAATTTTCTTCCTTACATATATATACATATCCGTAGTTGTATTCACATGACTACACAATTCAATTCAATACGAAAAAGAGATAGATAGATGTATTTAACACTCTTATTTTAAAATTGTCGAATATTATACATGCTAATATCAGAGATGGGCAACTCCAACTCGGAGTTGGAGTTAACTCCGGAGTTGCCACTTTTTTTCACTAGAGTTGGAGTGGAGTTGGAGTTGACTTTATTAATTTATAGGTTGAGTTTGAGTGGAGTTAAGTTCATTCGGAGCGGAGTTGGGTTGGAGTTGGAGTTGATGCATTTTGTCAACTCCAATCCAACTCCTTTTGATGTAGTAACTTGTCCAGTAAAAATGAGGAAAATTGAGATTGAAACATCTATTTCAGAAGCTATTGCAAATGAGTACAACTTCTCAAGATAAGATCAGATAGGAGACGACTTTTTACAGTCAGTATTGCAGCCAGATTTTTAAAAAAATTCGGTTGGAGTTGAAATGGAGTCGGAGTTGGAGTTGGAGTGGAGTGGCGAAAAGAGCTGAGGGGCCGNTAAATAATAAATTCTGCATATTAGTTTTACGATTTCTTAATAAAATAAGAATATCATTTGAGATTAATAAACACCGAACAGTGCCTTTCGTACTGAAAATAAATAGATTAACAGTTATTTGGATGGAAAACAGCCTTCAAATATTTGAATTAAATGAATCACTTTGTTTTGATTTTGATTACAATCAGTCAGAAATCTTTTTTTCGGAATTGAATACTGATTAAACAGAAGACAATAAAACACCTATATCGAATCTATTTTTTTTGAGAAAAATTTAATGAATATCTAGGAAATTATTTTATAATACCATATGAGACCACAGTTGACACATAGTAACACCAGAATAATCAATTAATGTTATGATATAGCTCGTATTAGGTCTTTGATAGGTTCACATCAGTTTATTATGTGACAAGAAGACGGAAGTATTATTCATTTAATCAACTAAAGATCAAATGATTGATGACCCAGTCCAACTGGACTGGTGCATATCTACTCAGGTAGATAAGAGTTCATTGTACGTGCAGAAACGTGTTAAAACGTGCGCTTTTCACGCTAACAGACAATTTTGTTTTTTTAGGTAAGAGAAGCTTGTGGAGATTATCGTCTTCAAACCTCTTTTTTCATTCAAAAAAATATTTTGAAATCGTAAAAAAGCACACTTTAACGCGTAAAATCGCGTGGTTTCATCAATTTAGTCTAACTGAAATGGCTTATTTAACATGACAGTTAGTCAAACATTTTCCTCCATAAGTAATTGAAAAATCTGATTTACAGCTAGAACAAAATTGATATGGATTAGTTTTATATATCTGAAGAAAAATTGCATTTTTTGGACTCTTTGCTCATTTCCTATTGAGACTATAATGTCGTTTCGACTTTATTGATGAAGTTTTTCCCTTTGTTAGTTGTAGTCGAGTTTTTAGTAGAAGTACGAGATTCTCCAATTATTGCTATTGTTTGTAGATCAGACTCTTCAACGTTTCTATTTCATCTTCTTTGGTGAATTCTGAATAAAAATTAACATCATCATCTATTCAATAAAAGCTTAAATCTAAACTAATTTTATAAATCGAATGTGTCGGTCAAATATGATACACAAAATAGTAAGATAAAGAGAAAAACCAAGTGGCTTATGGCACTTAGTTTCGATTTCAGGAGTGAAAATAAGCATGCGAAACAGATAAGATCAAGGCAAAACTAAATGAATAAAAAGAGTATTTATGGTCCTTGATCAACTCATTAGGGATGCGTGTGGGTGTTGGGTGTGCCTATCTTGAGTGTGGGTGTGGGTGTACGTCTTAATATACTTCGACATCCTCACACTCACTCACATCAACACCCATACACCCACACGCTACTTGAGTATAACAAGTCAGACAATCAGCTTTGAAACATCCGCGATAAGTTCACACTCATGTCTATTAGTTTCAGCGGAGGCTTGTCTTTGCAAAAAAACACTTTTGGATTTTGTTTTCTTGTAACAAGTGATATTTTACCTCATGCTATCTAAAGGATTGATCGCAGAGGATCATCAGTAACGCTGATCCGTTGAATATCTGTCCACTGTATAGACATATGAATCATTCATCTTAGTGGGCTTGGTGAAGTAATTGCTGGCAGTATTTATATTCGAAGTGGTCGGCTATATTTCCTTAATTATTAATTCATATTTTTGGAAATTCAATATTTTTTAAAAGTACTAATTAATTAGTGTGTGATCTTCTAATGCGGTAGACGGACTGCTGTTTAGACATGACCTTGTATAGAGAGTGGCTTTCTGTCACTGAAAGAGGGCGACGCTTATCTCTTTTGAGATACTTTCATTCGCAAGAAAGTAGCTCTTTTACTTCGATAGATTGAACATACAATCATCCTGGATAATTTGATTAGCTGTTTCCGGCACATATCTTCGTAGCCAATATCAAAAAATATTCCCTTCAAAATTTTTTGACATGAAGATCAGTTAGATTTTGATTTACTTTTATGTTCATATGGCCTTTTCAGGTACGACATTCGGCTTCAGTAACTCTGAAACTGTATATGGAGTGTGGAACACAACTGCTGGCGGTGATAGCATTCCATCATCAAGTGGTACGAGCATTGGCAACTACTACCCAACGGAAATACCATCATACGCATGTGATAATAATATCAATTCGAAGTATACAAATTTTGGCACATGCACTTCAGCTTCTTCTGCAATGACGTGCGGTGTGAACACTGGTTTCTATGTAACACCACAGCTAGGCCCACTATTGGTCATAGGTCTGAAAATTTGCACAAGTTCCAATCTCTCAGCACGCGATCCGATGACCATAACGTTCGAAGGAAGCAATCAACCTGCTTCAGCACTGCATATCGGTTCGAGCTGGACTCTGCTCTACAACGGTTCGAGTGGTCTTAGTACTGATCCAGGTCGACTCACCTGTGGAGTATCACAGTTGTTCAATAACAACTCGATTTGGTACGCCAGCTATCGATTTCTCGTTACTTCAAAGCGTGGTGCAGATGCAAGTACCTGGTACTCCGAAGTTATATTTATTACCTAATAATGTCTCTTGCATGTGATACTCGTTCTTGTTAATACTAAAGACGAAGACAATTAAATCTTAAATTTGAAAAATCATTACCGATATTTAAATTCTTTAATAAAAATTCAAAGTTTTTTTTACAGTGAGGAAACAAAGACCGAATGCAAAAAGAATGGAATGGGATGCGTTGGTCCTTAAAACGACGCTTTTTGAAAATTCCTTTTGATATGAGCTCCAACATGGAGTTCTTTCTTCGTTATATGTGCATCACTATGACTACTGCTCATGTATCATCTAGAAAATTTAATAACTTGTTTCATTTTCAAAGATCTGTCACTGGATAATGATGACATGAAATGATTCCAATATATGAGTCGGCGACTTACGAAGAAGGATCTTTTTCAGTATACTTCTGGGAAAATGGGTTTTTGTTCCAGAAGAACGCAAACTCAACACTGGACCTACAAGAAATAGTTCTCAGAGGTGTTCAGTGGAAACAAGAACGCATTCAAGCAGCACTTATCCTAGCAGAAGATTCCGAACGAAATCAGGAAGTTGACTTCGGTGTATACTCGGCTAGGATTTCGTTTTCTTATCTGTATTCATGATCACAACAATAGTTATCTTTCGATTACTTGACCAAGCATTGCGTGCTAAGGTTCTGATCAAAAATACAATGATTCATTTCGATGCATTCTGTGTCAGTGTTCGTAACCTAATGTTAGATTTGATTTGCGGTTACTTTTTTTCAGCGAGTGGTATAGACTTGCAGAACCAACTAGAAGAAAAGCTTGTCGAGACTTTCTCCCATTTATTAGCGGGATGTGAGTGTGAGTGTGGGCATGGGTGTAGTTATGGGTGCGGTTATGAGTGTGGGTGTGTGTGGATGAGCGTGTGGGTGTGTGTGGGTAGTCTCTTCATTTCGACACCGACCCGACCCGACACCTACACCAACACCGACACTCACACAGCCACACCCACATCCTTGTTGATTTGGAGTAAAAAAATATATATCAGTAATCTCATTGGTGATCATTGACGACATCGACCAAATGAATTAAATGATCACATATAAATATTCACGTCTACAAGTGAAAATAATACATAGAGGCGCAGATAGATATGGAAGATTTATCGATTAAATGAAATGATTTACCAGATGAGATTCTTATATTTATTTTCAGAAAAATGTATGATGTCGAAGTACTCTATTCTTTAATAGAAGTAAGTAAACAACTTAATACAATGGCACATGAGTCAATTTTTACCAGGCATTTAAAGTTATATTTCTTGGATTATGACATCCATTCATTACTCGATTCAATGCTTGATCGATTTTGTTCACAAATTTTACCTGAAATTCATGATAAAATCAAATGGCTTCATCTTGAACCAATATTTATGGAACGTATTCTTCTTGCTACAAATTATCCTAATTTATATGGACTTGGTTTACATGGTATTGATGTAGAAAAAGCTATATCCCTTGCTAATGGTAAGCTATTTTAATTCTGCAAAAATGAGAACTAAATAAAAATTCAGCATAATTTGTTTTATTATAGTTATAGCATAATTGTGTAGATGGTTCAGGAATCTAAGTATGAATTTGTATGTTGTATGACTAGTTTTAAATAAATTGAACAAATTAATAATATGATTTGATCAATATTAAAAATAATTAGTTTGTTTCTCAAGGCATTTTTTTATTATTTAGATGGCACTACTTTTACTCATATAGTCAAAAATCAAATATCATCACTTTTTATCGATATTAGTAAAAATAAAAAACGGATTTCAACAGATAATGCCAATAAATTTACATTTACACATATCTTTACGATGTTCACCAATAATTACAATATTTAAATTTCGGTTCATCTTTAATGTGGCGTCAACGATTTTTATTTGACATGCCATCTCCAATTGTTACTTCTTCAAATCTCTTAGAATTACATATTTGGATGACTCATTTCACTGATTTGCTTTATTTACTTGATGGACGTTTTAATCAACTTCATACATTTCATGTTAATATCTTGATCATTAAATGCACCAGTTCAACAATTCATAGTGGGGTAGATTATTTCTGATTAATACGAAATTTATCGAAATAAATTGAATTTTTGTTACCTTTTCTAGGAAAAATTACCTAATCTAAGATGTTTTTCGCTATGTTCTGTGATGCGTATACATTTTTATGATGAATTAATTGTACCACTTCTACATCGAATGTTGAATTTAGAAAAACTTGATTTACAACTTGAGCTCGATCGTAATAAAGGATTCATTAATGGGATTGATTTAAAAGAAAATATTATCAATTATATGCCAAGATTAAATAAATTTACATTTAATATTCGTTTATTCAATCGTCTTCCTAATCAAATTAATTTACCTTCAAATGAAGATATTTAACATACATTCAAAGATTTTAAAGATAATCAAATTATTTCTTGTGTTAATTATTTCGAAGAAAAACAATATAGTTATTGTCATATTTATTCATATCCATATAGAATGAAATATTATAATAATATTTCAAATAATTTTCCAGGTGAATTATTTAAATATATTTATAAAGTATCGTTATTTGATGAACGTCGATTTGAACATGAATTTTTTCTTCAAATTGCTCAATTATTTCTATTTATGAAAGAATTAACTGTAAATAATAACAAACCGCCGAAGAATAAATTATATAAAAAATCAAAGAACAACACTCAAGATTTATCAACTATTAAATATCTTCATCTGACTAAACTCAATCTTTATGAAGCTCATGATAATTACGTCGAAGAATTCCTGGTTGGTACAGAGATGTATTTTTCTAATAAAGTTCATCTTTCTGTCTATTATCAAGCACTGAACAGAGTTACGGAAAATTTCTCAAGACATGCAACACGAATCAATTGTGAAAAAGTGTATTCTTTATATCTACATGGTGAATATAAATTACTAAACATCTAAAAGATTATTTTCCTCAGATAAATAATTTTTGATTATTGTAAATGATTATTAAAATAAAACATGAAGGAATAATCAGATTTATTTGTAAAAGTTCAATGCATTACAATGAAGAGAAAAGAATGAAGAAGCAGTAGTGTAGAAATCAAAAACTCGTTTCGAGTCGAAAATTGTTTTTGCAATTTCTAACTATTCAACCTAGTTTGTTGATTATTCGAGTTTTCAGTTTTTCAACTATTGAACTCTTACCCATCAGAACTGTTTGACTGTATCTATTCCCTTCTTGACTGCTCAATTTTGATACCGCTCAGAATTTTGCTCTTAAAATTTATACACTTCAGTGTTGACTTCATCCTTCATTCTCAGTCTTGATTTGCCTCACTATTCATCTTTTACAATATCGACTCCTCTCGCTCAATGTGTACTATTCCTCACTCTTCAGTTGAAAACTTGAAAGAAATCTTCGAGTTCTACATGTATGATAATATTTGTTTGAATTTATTCATAAAAAATGATTTTTTAAAGATCATTAGAAGAAAAAAAAAGAATAAGAATGAAGATTCATTATTTCCTTTATTGCATTGCTCTAATTGTTTTAAATGTTTTATATGTTCTTTGAATTTTTCTTTTTCTTTTCGTTTTTCTGTAGTATGTCGTTGTTTTTTAGGTTGAGAGTCTTCCTTTTCTCATCATCCTCACTTTCAAGACATATTTGCATCCGTTCATAGAAAAAAACCTTCTTACTTTCTTTTCTCATACTATATATCTTAATATACAAAAAGAGATGTGTATTTTTTCTTTTCATAATGAATGAGAATTTCAATCATAAAAAATATTTCTATTCGTACGAAATAACATTAAAAAAAATAAATACTCATAACTATCAGATAAGATTATAAGTTACAAAAATTCTTTTATTATATTAAACTAAACTTTTGGTGTATATTCAAAATATAATTAGTAATTAATTTGATTGAAATTCTTGAATGAAGATATGAAATGAGATTCAAAAATTGTATATTTATTTTATTTTATTTTGTTGAGAAAGATCAAGTCTCATAATTAAACGGATTCGATATTCTAACTAATCCACCATGGTTTTATCCTATACATATGTAAAAGAGATTTTTGCCAAATACGATAAAACTACAGTTTTTAGTTATCTACAATAAACAATAAGGGAATTTATTTCATAAAACAGAATAATTCTAATATGAACGCTCAGTTTTGAATAGGTTCTAATATTTTGATCAATAAAATGAACAACATATGTGAAAACTCGATCCTTTTCAAAAAAAATCTCATTTTACGCTTCTATTGATTCGGGTTTCTCGAAAATAGAAAATAAGTATTTAAAGTAATAAGAGATTTATACAAGTAAAATTGTTTAAATTAGTCAAAGAATTCATAGATCAGTATGAGAAATTCGTCTGTATGCATGATTTATAGTAGATTGAAAATAGTTGGAAGAAATTGCTTCTTTATCTCTGAACAATGACGATGAATTATTTAAACGAAAAAAATATTTTCTACATATGTTCAAAATTTATCACAGTGAAAAAAGAAAAGAAAGGAATCTAACTTTACATTCAATCAATCTTCTTTTATTCGAAAAAATATTTTTCTTTACAAATAATATTTACTGAATATATTTGAACAACAAAAAAAAGTAAAACGACTATTATTTTGTCGTAGAATATTAAGATCATCTTTATTTAGATTTACTCGTTCATTATCATTCGTTTTATTCTGTTCAATCAGATAAATAAAAGATTTTGGTGTTTGGCAAATATTCATCGGAATAGGTAAGCTATGTCCTAAATTCAAAAAAAACATTGTTCAACCAGATTTTATTTTCGATTTTTACAGGGTTGAAAACGCCTTGATGACGAAGTTGAGTATTCTAATCAACATTGCCTTCATTGAGCCTTATAGAGAATGAGAAGACAATCCACCTGAAGTTTCTCACAGCTAAATCAGAATTGAAACGAGATGATCCTTTTCAGGATGTTAGTTAGTGTCATTTCTACATTAAGATTTCACTTTTTTAATCAGAAATTTTATCTTACTCTCATATTTCAATTAAACAAATAATACTTTATATTAGAAAAAAGTTTACCATCTCGCATATATTCCATATAAAGTCTTGAACGAACAAAATTCTATTCTTCATCAGCTCGATCGTCAATTGTACTCTTCCATCATTGCAACTAAAATATGAATAAGAACAGTAACACATAAACATGTAAAAAGACGAAAAATTATAAAACCAAAATTTAATGCAAATAAATCGAAACATGTAGCATAATAACTTTTTGGATCAAGTTTATTATATGTTAATGAAACAAGTTCATATTCATAATTCGAAATAAAGTAAAACAAACTGTAAATATCGTCGATCTAAATGTTCGACCAAAATAACAAATAGTTGACCGAGGTTCAACTCTTTTAATCTTACCATAATCATGAGTTCTTTTTTTACAAATATCATTGTCCTGTTCATCATTATTATTTATTCTTTGCAGATTTATCATATTTGAAATTGGTTAATCCATAAGTTGATTGAAAGAAAGTAAACATCGGAAATTTCTTTCTATTGTTAAACTATTATGTTTTGTTAATGAAACTATTTGTGGTTCAATTTAATTTACTGGTTGTTGTTGTTGTTCTAATGTAACAACAAAGTAAGAAATCATTAAAATGATTAGAATCCATTTTGAAATATCAATAATCATACACTCAAGCATTACCTGAAAAAAAAGAGATTTTTATTAAATCATGAGACAAATTTATTGTCTAGAGAAAAAAAACGTTAATTATGATAGTGAGATATACTACTGCTTTTCGACAGAGCATGAATGACATCAAGTTTGATGTTGTAAGCAGTGTCAAAATTTATTACAAATATTTATTTAATTAAATTCAGAAGGCTTGAACCATTTTCTTAACTTATATTTTAAAATTTACTTAATACAACAAAGTAGAAGAAGATTTTCAAGACTTTGACGCAAATTTGTATCATTTTCATCATCTGACTTGGTAAGAAGATATTGAATTATCGTAGAACTTTTCATTTGACCTATCCAAGGTGACCGGCCGATCGAATACCACCAATCGATATTGTGTTGAGACTCCTTTTTCATTGGGTGGGTGTGGGAGTGCCTGTGAGTGTGGGTGTGGATTGAAGAAAACTCTCACCCTCACGAACGCCCACATCCTCACACTCACACCCATAAAAAGATCCAGTTTTTGAATGTAAACTGTTTTGAAGTAAATGAGATTTTCTCGATGCTTGGTAATCATTAGGACCAGTAGCACAGTTCAATGAATTCTTTGGAGGAATATATTGCTGTTTGCATTATTAAACAGTAAGAATGCATCGTTAAAGTCCATGTACTCTCAATAATACTGTGAACTTCCAATGTGCTTGAGTTACTCACATCCGCAAAGAACATTCTTTGATAATTATAGAATAATCCAGAGAAGAATACTGTTGAAAGTCCTCGAACGCCAATAAAAATTTAAATAAATATATGCTTATGCACTTCTATGCCAAAGCAAAAGATTTGAAGATTCAATTAATGCACAATGCTGTAAGCCTTGTGTTTTATTTTGGTAATCAAACAGTTGAGCTTTTATTTGCTTTTGCTTTTCTCTCACAATAGTGTGGCATAGTCAACGTCGATCGTTCGGTTCCTTTCTATGTTTTATTTGATCCAATAAGTATTCCTTTTGTGTTTGAAAAAAGAGCACGTAGAGTGATGATAAAAACAATCTAATCATGTATTTACAGATGAACTCACTTCGGAGCACTTTACTTTTTCATTTCAATACCAACAAGAATGGTATCACAATGATTTTGATCAAAGTAGCTTTCGTGATGGTTTATTTGCAACAATTTCGATTTTTAATTAATCCGAAACTATATCATTCTGTTACAATCTAGTGCTTGCAGTTATTGATAACTTTTGTAATAGATAGATGTGAAAATTTATTCACACATGGGGGAACCTATTTTCGAAGTAAACGATAGATGAGTTCGCTAACGAAATCGATCTCATTTAAAACTTGTAACACCATCCTATTAATTATATATAGTTAGAAAGGTACTTTGCTCACTTTCGCACTCACAATGTACTTTTTATTAGAACACTGTTTTCCTATATCTTTAAACATACATATTCTCTGAATGGTCGGGTGTGTGTGTAGGTGGGTGTGGGAGTGTTGATATTTTTATATCCCACACCCACACCCTACTCAAAAAAGATTTGGAAAATGCTCTGACAATATGAAATGCACGGTTAAAATGTGCTGATTTCTGAGTGAAAAAAATTAAAGACATTGCAAACGAAAACCAAGATAAGCAAAAAAACTTATATATTCCCATGAAGATTCGTCATCGATACGTAGTTCAGTAATGTTACTAACTTTTGATATTGAAAAAAACTTGATCACTCTGTTTGATTGATAAAAGACATTCATCAATGAATGATATACTGATCAATATTAATTAATGAATATTCAGTGAAAGTTGTAATAATTCAAGAAGTCAACTCATAGCAACAATAAGGATCTCGAATTACTAAATGATTAAGTTTCATCAATAGAACAATGTGATTGATGTTGCTTATGGATTGATCATTGCTTTTAATATCATTTTCAATTAAAGTAAGTTTATTTACATTTAGCCAATGAATTAAATAACCAATCGGCATAGAATCAATACCAATTGGTAAATGAGAAGCTGAATTAATATTTCTTTCATAAAGGTTTCACAGAGATATAATTAATAGGATTTTCTTCTAAAATCGACAAAAAAATGTTCCAGTTTAATCTATTCTATTGAGTTATTTTATCTGTACAGATGCCCAGGACGAAGCCGAACCATCGAATCTCATCGGACAGTTTTAAAACCGACAGAATTCTATCGGAAGTAATCGGAAATCCAGTGATCCAGAATCCGATATCAAATACGACTGGTTCCGAGTACCATCTGACAGTATTCTACCGGTCTTCTTCGGATTCCAATAAAATCCGATGAAATCTGGATCGGAATCCGGGCCACTGAATTTTTCGACCTGGGTGAGTAGAATAGGGTGTGGGTGTGGACTTTCTTTTCATTCACTCTCACACCCATAATACTTGCCAAACATCAGTTTGCCATTGTTTTGTACCAAATTGTGCCGAATTATAAAAAAGCATACTCTTTATTTAAGCGTGTTCATGAGAGCGGTCGTTTCGAGTGTTTTTTTTTTAAATGAACATTACTTTCTAATTTATCCCCTTGTGCTTGTAACAGATATCGAACTTTAGATCCATATTTCACGTGAAATTTTACATCAGACAGGCTATTACAGAAGTACTTATTAAGATTTCAAGATCTGTTCACTTTTCCATACTTTGTTTCTTGGCTAAAATCTTGCCTACAAGATATTTCACTATACGAAAAATAAAACTGATCAATCACAATGAAAAGTTTTAGTTTCTCTTTCTTTGACTGTGGATAAGTTTTGTTGAAGGAAATAGAAATCATAATAAATATTAGATGAATTTAATGATTTTGTGGTCGGTAAATTCGCATATTTTTGGAGATCTTATTCTCTTGAATGAAATATTCATTTACAGAGACATAACTATTAAATTCATAACCTCTATATCGTTTGTTCTTTTTCATCCGATGTTCGATAGAATGATGTTGAAACAAACGGATTTCATTTAATACAATCGTTAATAGTCTTGGCATGAATTTATATCTTTTGTTAAGGAAGATAATTGCAATTGAAGGATATCAAGATTGAAAACTAACTAGAAAAAGTCATTTTATATTTCTTTATAATTGAAACAAAAAATATGTAAAAAATACATTATTTCCAAAGATTTTTCAGGTGAATTCTTCTAACGAAGAAAAAAAGGGACGTTTGTATGGTTGACTGAAGCATTAATAATTAAAAGATAAATTAAGTTTTTTTCATGGATTGAATAAAGAAATAAAATATGTTTTCATCTTTTTTTCTACTCATTTTCTTTTTGAAGTGGGATTTTACAAAAAAAACCAGTGTCATATGATCTAATAATGAATGTGTTTATTCCCTTTAGTATTCTAGTGACTCTTTATATCATTAACTCAACGTTTTTATAGAAACCTATTACTTTTTTTCGCTGAAGTTTTTAATGTAAACGATTCATGATAAAAACTAACAAAAGAATAATCAGTTTTGGGTGTGGGTGAGTGTGGGGTGTGGATGGATCGGCAATAAGACATCTATACCTACATCCACACTCACCCAAATTCACACCCACAGCCATACTCACACCCACACCATGAAAGAGAGAGAGTTGAGATGTGTACGAAAGTATATCAGAAATATCATTGAGAGTAAGACAATGACAGATAACTAAACGTTCAATAGAAGAAAATTGCTCGTTAGTAGCCATTGATATGGCCATATGTAATTCTTTGTATTTGAATATTTCCATCTTCAAATATTTTAATAAAGACAAATGAAAAATAATTTTTTAAACATCACCAAGATTTTCAAAACAATAATCGAGATAAAGATTTTAAGTAGAAGAGAAGTACCATTAGTTTGAATATAGAGATTTGGTTAAGAACAAGTGATTCAAGATGATTCAATTAGAAATCAATAGTGAACAGTGTAATGAATTTATTGAGAATTGATTGATTATAAAAATGAAGTGAAAGAATTTGATATTTACATGAATTAATAAATTGTTTATTACGATTTTGATAAAAAATTAGAAAATTTATTTTGTTCTTTACTTTTTCTTTTCAAATAATTCTACTAATAAAAGAATTGATCGCTTACTTAAAAATCAATTACAACTTACGCGGTGATTTTAGTTCGAAAGACTAACAAAAATTTCGCTATCACCTTTTTCTCATCTTGGATAAAAATAATAATAACTTGCCGATCTTGGCTCAGAAATAAAGAGAAAAAAACAAAAGATGACAAAATAATGAAAGTTAATTGTTGTTTTAACCATTTGATAAGTTTATCTATTAATGATAAACATGGATCTAAACTACATTGTTTGATGAAAATTTAGGTCACTTCGGCAACGAACTTTCAACGCACGAAGATTTTTCAAATTTCTTGGGTGTGTGGGTGTGGGTGTGGGTGTGGTTGGGTGTGGGTGTGGTTGGGTGTGGGTGTGGTTGAGTGTGGGTGTGGTTGGGTGTGGGTGTGGTTGGGTGTGGGTGTGGTTGGGGGGTGGGTGTTGGTGTGACTCTTTTCATAGCTCACACCCCCCACCCCCCGCCCCCCCCGACCCCCCAACGCCCAC